GAGAATGACAAAGGACAGGGGACACGAGAGATGGAGACAAGACATGTTTCTGATCAAGTCTCGTTTATTGCGGAAGCTGCTACAACATATATACCGTAGGGCTAGAGGGGAGGAGCAAGAGGAGGGTACTGGGGCTACTTCCTTGTTGCCGGGTAGATTTGCAGCAGGTCCGGATATGTCCGTAAAAGGCACCCAAGAGTTCTAGCAGGGGGGCAAGGCCCCCCACAGTGGTGTTGCTGTTGTTTGTTCACTTGGCAATGGTGGGGATGGAAGCCCAGGCCTTGCACATCTGCCAGAAGCACTGTCCCACTGAATGAGCCTCCCGTCCTCCAATTTGTTTTAAACACAGCTATCTCCTTACTGTGTGCTTGCAACTAACATTTAAATGGGGCTGGAGAAAAATCTTAAAAAATCAATGCCCACTAATTTCAAGTTTATTATCACAAATTTCAGTTAGAGACTACCCAAAGGCCTTACTATACTTTGTAAATATGTTTTTTCTCTTACTCTCCAAAATTTCTTTGTGGTAATGCCATTCTCTCTCCAAATTTCCAACACCAACCTTCTCTTACTACTGGGTCATTCAGACAGCATACAAACATTTTTTCCATTTTTCTGTTTTTGGCTTCCCACTTTGAAACAGCAGAATCTTCCCTTGGCCGGATGTCCCCTCTGCCTCCTCTCGAACACCTTCGCAGACAGCTTCTCAAAAGTTTCCTCACATTTCAAGGGCTGTTTCCTCAACTTCCAATAACTAGGCTTCAGTTCCTCTGTCCCCAAAATTGCTCTTGTCCAGATTACCACACCTGGTGGACATGGTGGCACACATGACAATCTGGGAGGCTGAGGAATACAAATTTGAGTCCAGCCTGGGGAGTTAGGCTACTTAGACTGTCTCAAAACAAAACAACAAAGCAGGGGCTGGGCTAGGGATGTAATCCAGTGCAAAGGACCTCAATTCAGTCCTCAGTACTGGAAAATAAAAAGACCACACCCTCCACTTGCAGATCAGTGGCCAGCTGTTACTGCCCAGCATTTTCACAGTTGCCCGTTCTGTGCCTCATTGGCAGGCACTGTTACACCTTGATGTGTTAGAGCCATGCTGTCCTGGTTGCACACTTCTGCCTGCATTCATTGGCTTGAGCTTCTCCTTTTCCACCTCACTGTTTTCATACTCCAGGGCTCAGGCCCAGGACTTCTGCCTTCTCATCTGATCTTA